AAACTTGGGTATACCGAATAAAACGGTCACATTTTTAGATCATGACCTCATCGACTCAGTTTGAACATCGTTCCATAACACGTCACTTTATGTTCAATTATTGATTACAATACACCAAAATAGAAAGCGGGTGCATCACGTGATAGTGTCAGGTGATTCCTATACCCAATAAGAAAATGAGACAAAACTTGCTTATTAGATGCACATGTTGATCGGTAGTACAAGCAAATAACTCATAAAGATTTACATGAGCATGCAGCATGTGCATGCATACAAAAACAAAAAGAAACCCACATCCTGTCTTGCACTAGGATTCCAAGGGAAGTATAGGCCTTGAGCCAGTACTTCCCCCAGAAATCCAAGAGATTAGAGAAGGAGGTGTTCAGCAACCTATATCAGTACCTATATCAATTCCCGCGGATTATGTTCTACAATATAAGAATGCCAGTGATCATGATAAATGTATAGCTGATTCGTAGTTATCTCTTGATAAGTGTATAGTTGTTTTGTAGTTTTCCCTTAGGTTGTTTATATGATTTGTAGTTCTGACCTTTGATGTATCTATAAAACAAGGAAAACATGCTCAGGCTTTGTATATTGGCCTAGCCCTTCTCCTAATATTCTTTCATTGTATCAGAGCTTAATTGGCTCAAGCCCGATCCGGTCTGACATTATGTCGTCTACCGCTGTTGCCTTTGTTCCCCCTAAACAATCTCATACAGTTTGCTTTGGTGAAGCTTGAGGGACCTTTATCCTATTTGAATTGGTCATCTCAAGTTGAAGGTGCTCTCAGCATTCATGATCTTCTGAGTTTCGTGGATGGTACAAAATCGTGCCCAAAAGAATTCTTACCTGTTGTTCAAGGTAAAGAAACCAGTGAAACTAATCCTGATTTTACCCTATGGAGTCGTAAAAACCAGTTTGTTCTGGTTTGGATGAAGTCTACTATCTCAGAGATGGTTCTTTCTATGGTCTATGATTTGAAGACTGCACAACAAGCATGGCTTGCACTAGCAAACCGCTTTGCTAGTTCTTCAACCTCTAATGTCCATCAATTACCAGTTGCAAGGTTTGCATCAAGGAGACAAGAGTTGTTCTAATTTCATTGAATATGGGAAGAATCTTGCGGATCAACTGGCAGCAATAGAGAATCCAATTAATGAAGAAGATTTGATCTCACACATCCTTGGTGGACTCAATGCATCATACACTCCTTTCATCTCCAATATTTACTTTGCACAACGTGAAAAATCTTTATCTTTGACTGATTTTCATTCTGAATTGCTTGCTTTTGAGGCACTCTTGGAAAATCAGTAGCTAAACGTGCAACTGATCACAATAATTTCGCTATGATTGCGAACAAATTTGGAGGAAGGAATGTGAAGAAGAACAACAAAAGCTGGCAACAACAACGACCTAATCATGCTGAGACTCCAGCTCAAAAAACTGCTTAATCTAATGTCAATGTCACTTCTAACAACACTGGATGTGTACCTGCTGGGCAAATGATCCAGATTTCGATCCATATACATGTCGAATATGCAACAAGAAGAATCACATGGCATTGGATTGTTTCCACTACTATGATCACAACTACCAAGGTCGACATCCACCTCAACAATTAGCAGCTGTGGTCGCACATTCCAATCCTCTTCATTGTGACAACACTTGATATGTTGACAGCGGTGCAAATCAACATGTGACTGCTGACATAGCCAACCTTCACCTGACCGAGCCATACCAAGGAGATGACAAAGTAGCTGTGGGTAATAATTTACAGATTACACATACTGGTAAACTCACATTGCATGCAACTAGGTCAACCCCTCACTTAATACGTGTCCTACATTGTCCACAAGCCTCATATAACCTTTTGTCTATTAATTAATTATGTGTAGACCACGTTTGTTATTTTGTACTTATTGGTTCTAATTTCTTTGTCCATGACAACCTCACGGCACGAACGTTGCTAACAGGCCGGAGTAAAGGTGGGTTTTACCCTATTCAAGTTGATTGGCAGACTATCAACAGGTTTCGCTCAAGCGTTGCTCTCGTAGGTGTACGCACTACTCTTGATGTGTGGCACACAAAATTGGGTCATCCCTCCTCGCAAGTCACCAAAAGTGTAGTCAAGTCTTTTGATTTGCCAGTTTTAGGATCTTGTAATCTTGAACCTGTTTGTCAATCTTGTTTAATGGGAAAAGCCAAACAATTATAGTTTGGTGAATCCACTCAAGTTACTTTATCTCTTTTAAAACTTACTCATTTGGATGTTTGGGTTTCACCTGTAATATCTTTTGAAGGTCATCGTTATTATGTTCTTTTTTTATCGATGACTACTCTCGATTGACATGGTTATCTCCTTTTAGAAATAAATCTGACATTTTCTCATGTTTTGTGCAATTTAAATCCTTGGTTGAGAATCGTTTTTCTATAACAATTAAACAACTTCAATGTGATAATGGTGGTTAGTATCTTTCCCATCAATTTCAAGACTTTCTTCGTAAATATGGTATACATCAACACCTTTCATGTCCAAATACCTCTCAGCAAAATGGTTTAGCTAAGAGGAAACATCGACATATCATGGAAGTTGGGCTCTCATTATTAGCTCAATCACATTTACCTACAAATTTTTGGGTCGATGCCTTTATGACTGCAATTTATCTTATAAATTGCACTTCTACACCTCTTTTATATCACATATCTCCTTATCTTAAATTGTTTGCTCAAACAACAAATTATTCTTTCTTAAGAACGTTTGGTTGTGCTTGTTATCCATTGTTAAGACCCTACACAATGCATAAGTTAGCTTTCCATAGAAACATATTCCTTGGTTATTCTTCACAGCATCATGGGTATCGTTGCTTTGATCCCATGTCTCCAAACACATACATTTCTCTAATGTAGCATTCGATGAAAACATTTTTCCAACTAGGGTTTTGTTCTCCTTCAGTTCTCCTGTGGCCTCAAATGTTCCCACAACAGGTATGTCTTTTGATCTTAATCCCTTTTACTCTCAACTACATCCCGAGACTTTACCTGATCCAATTCCAGGAAGTCAACCATTATCTCCAATACAGTCCTCACCGAGCCCTTCCACTACCATACAATCCTCATCAAGTCCTACGTTGTTGCCATCACTGGACACGAACCACCTTTACCGAGTACCACTACATCTCCATCTCATCAGATTTCTAATCCTCCCCTACATCATATGGTAACTCGAACAAGAATTGGTTCTATTCATCCCAAACAGTTTCCAAATTTTTAGCTATTTTATGATTCTAATCATCCTGTGCGTGCGTATACCAGTGTGCTTAATCTTGTTGAACCAACTAGTTTCTCTCAAGCTATTTTATCACAGGAATGGCAGCAGGCTATGCGGCATGAATTCGATGCGCTAGTTGCAAACACATAATTATTTTTTGCGACAAATTTTAATTTGTCGCAAAAAGTGTACTATCTGCAGCGATTTCATAATTTCGTCGAAAATTTCTTTTTTTGGCATTTTTTTGCGATGTTTTTTAAAAAACATCGCGAAAAGCTGATTCCCTCCAAAAAAAAAATTGGCGCGATAAAATGAAGGGAATTGATATTTTTTATGACAAAAATTTTTTGTCACCTATTGCTTTAATTTGTCGCAAAAATAAATAATATAAAATTAAAATAAAAATAAAGTCAAAAAATTTAATTCGCGACGTTTATTTTTTTCGTCGGAGAATGTTAATTTTAGTTATTAAAGTAAAATAAAATATTAATATTAATTAGTGACGTTTTTTATTATTTTGTCGGGAATAATTTTTGTTTAGCGATATTTTTATAAATTCGTCGCAGAATATAAATTTATTTTTTGTATTAAATAAAATTATTATTTCGCGACGTTTTCATATTTGTTGCAAAGTAGAATTTATTTTTGTAATTTTAAATTAGAATTAAATATTAATTGTGACATTTTTGATTTTGTTGCAAAAATGGTACTATCCGCGACGATTTCATAAATTTGTCGCAAATTGCTTTTTTGGCAATTTTTTGCGATGTATTTGAAAAGACGTCGTGAAAAGCTTATTCACTCCAAATTTTTTTTTTTTGGCGTGAGAGAATGGCGGGAATTGATATTTTAATTTTTTGCGACAAAATTTTTTGGTCGCCAATTGTTTTAATTCGTCGCAAACATAAATAATATAAAATAAATATAAAAATAAAAATAAAGTCAAAATATTTAATTCGCGATGTTTATGTTTTGCATCGCAGAATGTAAATTTTAGTTACTAAAGTAAAATAAAATATTAATATTAATTAGCGATGTTGTTTATTATTTTATCAGGAATATTTTTTTTAGCGATGTTTTTATAAATTCGTCGTAGAATATAAATTTATTTTTTATATTAAATAAAATCATTATTTCACGACGTTTTTATATTCGTCGCAAATCATTATTTTCAAAATTTATTAAGACATTTTTATTTTCGTCGCAGAATATAAATTATAACCACATTTAAATTTAAAATAAAATAAAAATATTAAATTGCTATGTTTTATTATTAACGTCACAAAAATATTTTTGAAATTTATGGCGACGGTTTTATTTTCGTCACAAAAATATAAATTATAATCACATTTAAAGTTAAAATAAAATAAAGTTGTATAACATATGACATATAAAAATATCACCCTTTGTCAATTTATAGCAGTATGGTATATTCAACATCCCTCAGTTTTTATGCTAGAAAATTTGTATTAATTGATAGATGCACAATCCATTAATTGGATCCTTACTGGTAAAAAGCCATGAAACATCTTCATCCCCAACCTCCTTGAATCCCTAGCTTCTGCCCACCTTTTTCTGTCTTCTCCTTCGCTTATCTTCTGCAATTGATCTCCTTTTCCTTCTTTGTTTTTCATCGTGGCCCTTCTTCTGCTCTTTCCACTATCTTAATCCTCATCCTTTCCCCAAATCTGATGCAACCTTCATTCATTCGTTCCAATACCTTCCCACCATGCTAACCAACCAAACACCTGAAGCTACCATATCTAAAATGTTAGACCAGATACCCACTGGAACTTTCCCAGAAGTCTCCAAAGTTTCAGAAGCTTACCCACCTACTGATTGTTCAACCTTATCATTGCTTCCATGTAGCCCAGGTCTTAATGGTGGGGAAACAACATTTAATGACATCCCAAATGGTTCTACAATTTGCACAATGAATAGGAAGACTGTAAAAGCTACTCTTGAAAATGGAGTACAACCACAAGAAGATTCAACAAAAAGGAGGAACATGGAAGGTGAAGCTAACACGCTACTAGGTGAGAAGAGATCTCATGATATTTTCACTTCCCAAGAATCTGCGATGCTGTCAAAGCAAGCACAGTCTACTCCTATGGGTATGGTTGGCTTGCCAACTAAAACCCCCACCCCCATACCCTCATCAGCTGATGAAAGGTGTGATAAGACTACACAAGCTACATGGTGCAGTGTGCTGAAAAGAGGAACTGCAATGGATCAGGGTCATGGAGCTCCTTCTATAACCCGCAACCACATGAAATTAAAATATTTTGAACATCAAGGAGATGGGTCCAAAGCAGTGGTGGTTCCACCACCAGCGGTTGCAGATACGGGTTGTAAGAATTGGGAAAATAGCTTGGTTGGTTATTTTATTGAAAAAGTTTGCCCTTCAGTGATTAAGATGATTTCCCAAAAGATGTGGAATGCTTAGGGCCTAATAGAGGTGCTTGCTAATGAGCAAGGTTTCTTCTTTTTCAAATTTTCTAATGACAGTTCAAGAACTAGAGTCCTAGAAGATGGCCCCTAGTTATTCTATGGTAGAACTATGGCCCTCAAGAAATGGCAACCTATAATGATTCTTAAGAAGGAAGCACATTCTAAAGTTCTAGTTTGGGTGAAGCTTTATAACATTCCACTTGAGTATTGGAATGAAGAAGGTCATAGCTATATTTCCAGTGCAGTTGGGAAACCACTTTATGCTGATGGGCTAACAAAGACACAACAAAGAATTAGCTTTTCTAGGGTATGTGTAGAGATTGATGCTGCTCAAGTTCCCATTGATTCCATTGAATTGAAAATGCAAGGTTCCCAACCTGACCAAGTTATGGAGACTGTGGAAATTATGGTCCAATATCAATGGAAGCCTAAAACTTGTGTTAATTGCAATGTTTTTTGCCACACTAGTACAAACTGTGCAAGAAAGCAAGTGTGGACAAGAAAAGAGAAACAAAATGACAAAGGCAAAGGCAAAGAGATAGCCTCCACTTTTGAAGTTGGCAAAGAAAAGGAGAGTGACAAGGTTGATCAAAGAAGTGTTGTAACGGAAGCACAAGCAACCAGATGATGGTCTGTGAGACTATTATTACTGAGCTTCATACCACCACCCCTGCTCCTTAAGTAACTACAAACATCACCACTAGCAACAAATTTGATAATCTTGTTATTGAACTACAAGGTCCTGTGTAGTTAGATTTGGAAAAATCTGCTTCTCCTGAAACAAGTGTTCCGGCTACAAAAATTAAGAACATTGATGGTATACCAATTGGCCAACTAAGGAAAAAGCACAAGTCACCAAATAGAGGTAAAAGGGGGATTTCTACATCCCAAGGCCACCATCTACCAAGACATAAATGATCAATTTTGCATGTTGGAATAGTAGGGGATTGAACTCTCCCCCTAAACAATTGGTGGTTCGAAAACTTATTTTTGAACAGCAACTGGATTTGGTTGGTATAATTGAAACCAAAGTTAGGGATGTTAATAAGGGTAGCATTATAAGAGCTGTCTTCAGAGGATAGGACTTCTTTGATAATTATTTCAGTCATATTCTTGGTAGGATCTGGGTTGGTTGGAACCCAAATATCCTCAAGATTACCAAGATTGAAGAAATGGATCAGGTTGTTCACTGTGAGGTTCAACTTCTTAAAAGTAGGATTATGTTCCTTGTTTCCTTCATTTATGGGGCCAATGATGATAGAGAAAGGAGGAAACTTTGGAGTAATCTATAGTCTCAGGCTAGGAACAATATTTCTAGACCATGGCGGTTTTGGGTGACTTCAATGTGGTAAGATGTATGCAGTAAATTGAAGGGGGGAGCAATAGAAGAACAAAAGCCTGGATGAATTTGAAGAATGTATTCAAAATTCTGGCATTGATGACCTTTGTTTCTCAAGTGTTCTCTTCACTTGGTGTAACAAGAGAAACCCTTAGGATTGCACAATTAAAAAACTTGACAGAGTCATAGTTAATGAGGAGTGAAATTTGCTATTCACAAGATCTTTAGCTGATTTTCTTACCTCTGGAATCTCTGATCACAGCCCTGCCATTGTCAAGTTGGGACAGAGAGCAATACCAAGGAAATGGCCATTCAAGTTCTTCAACTTTTTGGCTAATAGAAGAGATTTGTTTTGATATTGTCAATAATGTGTGGCATAATAACGTGAGGGGAACAAAGCAATTCCAAGTAAGCCAAAAGCTTAAAATGTTGAAGTATGATTTCAAGAATTATAACAAAGCTCAGGTTGGTGATGTTTCTGCAAGAGCTAATGAAGCAAGAATTGTTCTAGCCGATTGCTAGAGGAAACTTGATGAAAAGCCCTTGGACCCTAATCTTAGGACTCAAGAGAAGGAGTTGCTTAGGAAATTCTTTGAGGCAATAAGAATTGAAGAGGAGTTCTTAAGACAAAATCCGAAATTCAATGGCTCAAAGCTGGTGATCAAAACACTTCTTTTTTCTTTAAAGCCGTCACAAGCAATAGAAACAAATCTAGGAAAATTTCTATCAAAAGATAGGATGGTACGATGGCTGAGGGGGATTTGTAGATCAAAGATGAAGCAGTCCATTATTTCCAGAATTTGTTTAGAAGTAGCGGTCATCAGTCTACTGTTATGCAAGCTACAATTAGGGACCTTATCCAGCACACTATCTCAGAGGATCAAGCTAGAATGCTTTACAAGGAGGTTACAGGTGCTGAAATTAAAGAGGTATGTTTTTCTCTCCATGCTAATAAAACCCCTAGTCCAGATAGTGTTAATGGATGTTTCTTTCAGAAGGCTTGGCCTATTATTGGGGATGAGGTTGTTTCTACTTTTCAAGAATTTTTTATCACTTGTCAAATGCTCAAGGAAATCAACTCCACAATCATATCACTTATTCCAAGGTGCACAATCCCACTACTATGAGTGACTACAGGCTAGTTTCTTGTTGCAACACCCTCTATAAGATTATTTCAAAGATCATTGCCAATAGAATTAAGCCATTTCTACCTGGGCTTATTAGTCCTTTTCAATTTGGTTTTATAGCTGGAAGAAGAATAGGGGATAATATTCTCTTAGTCCAAGAGCTTATGAGGAACTACCATAAGGATGATGGGCCTCCTAAGTGTGCAATAAAAGTGGATCTTATGAAGGCTTATGATATGCTTGAATGGGGCTTCTTGATTGATACTTTAGCTGCTCTCAACTTTCCACTGATAATGATCAACTGGATTAAAGCATGTATTACATCACCAAAGTTTTTGTCTGTGTTAATGGTGAATTGGCTTGTTACTTTCCTAGTCAAAGAGGTCTTAGGCAGGGGGATCCTATGTCCTCATATCTTTTTGTCATTGGAATGGAAGTTCTGACACAGATCATTGTGAGAAATATTCATGCAGCAAACAAAGAATTGCTCAATTGAGTTTTGTAGATGACATTTTCTTGTTATGTCATGGTGATATTAATTCTGCTAGAGTGTTGAAGACTTCTTTGGAGACTTTCAAAGTTCTTTCAAGCCTTAAAGCAAATCCACTAAAGAGCAATATCTTTCTTTCTGGGGCCTCTGAGGCTCTGCAGCTACAAATTGTGGAGTGTTTCTGTTTTCCTTTGGGCAACTTACCTATTAGGTACCTAGGTATCCCTATTATCACTATGAAACTAAGGGTCAATGATTGTGCTGGTTTGGTGGAATCTGTTGAGGCAAGAATTAGATCATGGGCTTATAAATTCCTTTCTTTTGCAAGAAGATTACAGCTCATCAACTGAATCCTCTCCAATACTCATATCTTCTGGTCTAGTCACTTGATTCTTCCCAAGAGTGTCCTTAACAATGTTGAACAGAAACTAAGGGTCTTTCTTTGGACAGGAGCTGAGCTTAGGATAATTGGAGCTAAAGTATTATGGAAGGAAGTGTGCCTACCAAAACAAGACGGTGGTCTGGGTGTTAAGGATCTAAAGGCTTGGAACAAGGCATTAATGCTTAGACACCTTGGTCATTTAATTTATAATGAAAGCAACATTTGGTCTAAATGGGTGAGAAACTATTATCTGAAAGGAAGAAGCATCTGGACTGTCAAGCCCCCACACATTTGTTCACGGAATTAGAGGAAACTTTTGAAGATAAGGGATTTTTCTAGACCTTTCTTTCTCCACATTATTGCCAATGGGAGAGAAACATCACTATGGTTTGATAATTGGCATCTTACTGGTCCACTAATGCTTAGATGGACTCCTGGAATTATGTATGATTCTGGCCTCAATATGAATGCTAAAGTTTGCCACATTATTCATGGTAATCAATGGAGATGACCCAGGGGTAATGCTAGAAACAACAGTGACTTGCTGCAAATTGAGGTATCCATGCCATCCTACTCCCCTAGACCTGATATGAAAGATATTGTTAAATGGTTGCTTACCCCCAATGGCTCCTTCTCCTCTTCTTCTGCCCTGGAGGAACTAAGGTATAGACAACCTATTGTTCCTTGGCGCAAGCTTCTTTGGTTTAGTCAATGTATTCCAAAGATGAGCTTCATTCTTTGGCTTGCCTTTAGATGTAGACTTTCAACCAAGGATCACATTCATAACTATATGCAAAGTGTGGATTTAAGTTGTGTATTGTGTAGGATAGCTCCTGAAACACACTCTCATTTATTCTTTGATTGCTCCTACTTTGAAAGGATTTGGAATTATGTTATGGAGAAATGTCACATGTCTTAGCAACAATTACCTTGGCAAGATTTTATTATCCAGTCAGCACACAATTGGAAGGGAAAGAGCCTTGCCACTGTGATCAAGAAGCTTTGTCTTGCAACCACAATTTATATGTTATGGAGTGAAAGGAATCAAAGGATATTCAGGAACTAGCAAAAGGATCCTATGACTGTCGAGCAAGTTATCATCAACATTGTCAGGAATAGACTAATGTTGTTGAAGTTTAAGGAAAACATAGAGAATCAAAGAATTTCTCACTCATGGCAACTACCCAGTTCTCTTTTTGTTTATGATGATGACTCTATCCTAATTACATAGAATATTTTTTGGTTTAAATCTTTGGAGAATAATGTAAATTTTCAGCATTCTCCCCAGATTTTTCCCCTATTTTTTGTTTGTTTTTAGCTCTTGTCCTACATATTTTTGGCAGATAAGTGTTTTTCTTCCTTGTATAGTCTCATTGGTTATCAATATACTGTTTACTTACCAAAAAAAAAATGAAATTTCAAATATGGCCCACCATCCTTATTATGATGTATATTCTTATCATAATATCTATATAATAAAGTAGCTAACAATTCAAATCTTAAAAGATAAACAAAATGACTTTTGTTATTTGCGGTCGAGATTACTTTAAATTTTATATTAAAGTTAATCTAATGACTAATATTAACACCCTAAATTTAATAAGAAAAATAGGCCCTTAAAAGTGTATTTGAAGTGACTTTGTAAAAATACTTCTATGAATTATTTTTTATAAGTACTTTACAATAAATAGTGTTTAAAACCGCCCCACCATTACCTCTACCACCACCACCGCCGCCACAAATACTGGGCTTACTATCAATCTAATAATTATAAATAATTAGGTTAGCAAATTATGTTCAAGTAGCATTGTTCTTGTTTATATTAGATTGGTAATGAACTTTATTTAACTAGTATTATAGAAATAAGAATGTGGATTTATTTGTAACTATTTATTAAGCACTGACATTATTATTGTTTAAAAAATATATTTTGATTTACTACTACTATTATTATTATTTTGTTTATTAAGTTAATTTTAAGTTTGTAGAAAAATATGAATATGGATTCAATTAAATGAAAATAGAATATTATAGTCAAATTTTTTATCTAAAGTTTATTTAAAATGGACTATCCGTGACGATTTCATAATTTTGTCGCAAATTTCATTTTTGGCAATTTTGTTGCAACGTTGCGAAAAGGTGATTCCCTTCTAATTATTTTTGGTGCTAGAAATGGCGGGAATTGATAATTTTTTACGATGAATTTTTTTTTCACAAATAGTTTTAATCGTTGCAAAAAAAAATAATCTAAAATTAAAATAAAATCAAATATTTAATTCGCGACATTTTA